AAACTGAAACTTAAAACAATTGAGAAGAACAGGGACATATGGAGGCCGGGCCTCTTCCTTCTTTCTCATACTAACATGGATAAAAGACCTTGGGAAAATCACTGAACCTCTTCAGACTCGTTATCTTCATTTTGTGATAGGCATCGAGACTTGTTTGGAAGCCTCATGTTCACAGCCATTCTCTTGGGCCTTACACTAACACACTTTTGAATTCTGACCCACGAGACTGATTCTCTAGCTCACAGATTTCAAAGCAAAATTGGCAACAATGGCAAATGGTTCAGTTCAACCAAAGCAGAAGTGAAGAGACAAAGCATGAGGAGCTGACTCTGCTGCCCACCTCCTTTATACCCAGGGGGGAACATTTCTTATCATCTAAGACCTGAAGAGAGCCAGGTGTGGAGGCTTCACATCGGTAAACATCACTTAGAGGCTGAAGGAAGAGGATTGAGAGCTTAAAGATAGCCTGATCTATACAAGACCCTGTCTCAAAACAACAATAATAACTACAACCAGTACCATCATCAAAACTGAGAGAATGAAGAACACAAATCATATGACGAGAGATATTGGCACACACCTTTAATCCCAGCACTCAGGAGGCACAGGCAGGCAGATCTCTGAATTCAGGGCCAACCTGGTCTAGAGAGCAAGTTCCAAAACAGCCAAGGCTACACAGAGAAACCTTGCCTCAAACAAACAAACAAACGAAAGAATGAAAAAAAAAATCAGAGCTGACCGTAGCTCCAAGTGTCTAATGAAGCCACATTAGCTGACTTACCAAACTCTGCACTGTGTCCTCCTTTGGGGTGCGTGCGCTGTTCACTCAGGCAGACCCTTCTAGACTTCTCTGCAAGTACACAGTATGTACCCACACACAGACTCATAAAGGGAGAAACACAGGTCTCACCATTTCCCTTTTACAAAAGTACACCAAGAAGCATGCTAAGTACGTACCTCTGAAACTCCACTTTTTACATTATCTTTCATGGTTCTGACAAATTCGTAGAATCACTCTAGCTGAAAAGGCTCTGTTCAGTTCATAATTTAATGACTGTAGAAAGTGTGACAGGAGATTCAATACTTCAGAGTTAGAAACTATTGCTTATATGATCTATAACAAGGGGAGCATCTGCCCAGATAGCAGAGCAATAAAACTAAAGGCATGCCAACTTGCTTAAGACCAAGTTAAAACTCCCTCCAATACTCAGATGGAAACTGAGGCATTCAAAGGAGGAAAAAAAACAAAACTCTGTGGCTGCGAATAGTAATTTTTAAAAGTCTCATTGAAAAGAACATGGAAAATTCACACTTGCAAGAGAGAGCACTGCTTTGTGAACTATTGAGAATCTGTAGTCGGGCTTTCTGACCTACTATGATGCAGCCATGTCCACCTCGCTCCCAAAGCTGGCTGCACTGAACTTTCCTGCACATGTATACAAGGCTTTTCCAGAGCAAACCCCTAGATACTGGTTCCCGAGGCTCAGAGCTACGTTCAGTGGCTGCCCCAGGTGGGCACAGTATCAGTCTTCATCAGGTGAGGCAGATGAATCTACTCTCTGGTACACTCACCATCTCCACAAAGCTTCACAGTGGGCCCTTTCTATCCAGCCTGCATCTCCCAGAAGCTCTCAGAAGCGCCCAGGTGTGGTGTCTTTCTAAAGCAGTGATTCTTAACCTGTAGGTTTTGAGCCCTTTCGGGGTCAAATGATCTTTTCACAGGGGTCTTATAACAGATATCCTGCATACCAGATGTTTACATTATGATTCATAACAGTAGCAAAAGTCACAGTTGTAAAGTAGCAACAAAAATAACTTTATGGTTGGGGGTCATCACAATGTGAGGAGCTATATTAAAGGGTCGCAGCATTAGGAAGGTCGAGAACCGCTGCTCTAGGGCAAAAGCCTCCCACTGTGGAGAAAAGGCACAGTCTTGGGAGGAGGGAAAGGCCTGGGATGGTGCAGTAAACACACTGAGCCTCTACCTCCCAGGTGCAGGGGCTTTTCCGTCCCAGGTGCAGGCATCTTTCACTGTGATTGTCTCCTCACACTCTTAGCCATCATGGGACCCAGTCACCTTCACATTTGTGGAAGGGATGCCATTTTGGGGGAAACACGCTCAGAATGAGTTGCTATTGCTGCCAGGCTTTCTGCTCTTAAAACCCTCTCCCTGTCTCTGTCTTTGCTGGCCTATTCCTTATTGCTTGCATTTTGCTCCACCTCTCATCCTCCACTGGAACATAAGCTACTCCATTCAGTCCCATGCAGAGATTAGCCACTGCAGCTATTCATCTCCATGCTTAACCCCCCTCCCGCCCCAGGTAGTTCCCTTCTTTTTCTAATTACAACAGTCAGTCACCTGTGGCGCTTGTTGAGCTACAACCATTGGCCTCCACCCACCAGGATCTGGTTCAGCGGCTGTTGGCTAGGACCCAGGAATGATGTTAATGAGAAGCCTGTGTGGTTCTTCTGACCAAGGCGCTGGGAAAATGTGATTATAACTGACACTGATCCTTCAGATAGATGAGTAGAGATTACCCTTCAAGTCATGCCAGGAAGGAAACACACACACACACACACCAGTAATTTCTAATGCCACCCTGTGCCTGCCAGGATCTTCCCACCATATTCGCCTGTTAGGGAACACAAGCTGAACCTGTTTCGACATCTCAAAGACCAATGAGAGACGCCAGGAAGACCCATTGACCAGGCTTCTGGAAATCTGAATTTTTCCACTGACATTAAATTATCAAAGCTTGGGCAGGTTGCTCGGCCTTAGTTTCCTGACCTGTAAATGCATTACATGATATTCTGTTCTTGCTTAGATTGTAACACTCTTGGACCCATAAGATACAGTTTTCGAAATAACCCTGAGGGTTAGCCAGGCGAATGTATGAAAACATCTCCTGTGTTAACCAGCATGGGAGCACACACCTGTGATCATGTGTGAAAGGAGGCGGCAGGACGATCTCTAATTCTGAACTAGCCTGGGCTGCATAGCAAGACTGTCTCAAAAGCATAGTCATCCTCTTGTTTAAAGTGACAAAAAACTGAAAACTTACCAGGTTTTAACAGCTACCAGGAAGGAGCAGTTAAATAAATACTGGTTGGTCTAAAGACTAACTATACAACCCTTAAAAATGAGTGTTGAGTCATATGGGAATGAGTATATGCAATGCAAGCGTATAAATGAACGTATGTTATATGCGATACGTGACTATACGCATACCTGAAAAATGACTATATGTGACACAGGAATGTTGTAACTGGTAACAGGAGGCTCCCAAACAGTGTTTAAACTTCGTCTCCGGGTCTTGCTTTTGTTTAAATCATACGATGTTCTGGAGCTTGTGATGCTTGGGGAGAGACCACAGACCCAATCCAGTTATAATTAAAGGATTTATTGATTAGCTGCCAGCAGGATGACAGCCTTAAAGCAGAATCTCAGGCATGTTGTGAAGAAGGAGTATGGAAAGCTTGGGTTTTTTTGTTTGTTTCTGTTTTTGTTTTTTTGTTTGTTTTTTTTAAAGGTGAAAACCTTCAATAACTACACTGGTCTGTTCTGACAAGAGGTCATGGTGACCCAAAGCAACCCTCGAGTGTCTGCGTAAGGGAGTTACAGAAGCCAAAAAAAAGCAGTTAGACATGTTATAACAAGAGAGAGACAGAGCTGTGCATTTTGGGCTGGGGATCACTAAGTCAGGGTTACTGGGCGCCAGGGACTAGAGTCAGAGACAAATGGCTACTAGGTACCAAGATGGATGCCGGCCATGAAATGGAGTTTCTCTGGCTACCACAAATGATGTTTATAGAGATGGAGTTTCCCTGGCTACCACATATGATGTTTATAGAGAAAGTCTGTGACGTTTCATAATATATGAATGTTGTGTATCCCCCGTGTGTCCTCAGTCTCTGACTGCTAGAATTACAGAAGTGTCACTCCCTGCTTTCTGCACTCTTAAGTGTTTATATTTTTCTTTTCAGTATGCTTAAACCTTTTTGTTTGCTTGCTTGTTTCTTTGTTTGTTTTATCAGATAGGGTTTGCTGTCCTGGACTTGCTTTGTAGACCAGGCTCAAACTCACAGCGTAATCCGCCTGCCTCTTTCTCCCAAAGTTCTAGGAGTAAACGTTTCATTTATTATTATTATTATTTTTTTAAAGTCCTTCCTGCCTATAGCAGCTCAGTGTCCAAGAGGGTTCCCCAGTAATAGGAAAAGGGACTGTCTCTGACATGAACTCATGGGCTGGCTCTTTGATCACCTCCACCTGAGGGGGGAGTAGCCTTACCAGTCCACAGAAGACAAAGAAGCCAGTCCTGATGTGACCTGATAGACTAGGGTCAGATGGAAGGGGAGGAGGACCTCCCCTATCAGTGGACTGGGGGAGGGGCATTGGAGAAGAAGAGGGAGGGAGGATAGGATTGGAAGGGGATGGGGGGCTACAGCTGGGATACAAAGTGAATAAACTGTAATTAATAAAAATCTAAAAAAAAAATTAAAGTCTTTCCTGAGCATCACTGGAGTGACCTTCAACTTCCACTAGGGTTAGGAAGCAAGACATTCTGGGAGCAAGGGTAAGGGTGTGATGGCCTTACTTGCCTAAATTTATTTCTTTTTAACTCTCTCTCCTATGTAGCACCCACAGCAAAGCTTTACTGGTATGAACAAATGCCCTTCCTTCATGAATCCCAGCATCTTTCACTACATTGGAGTTGTAAATATCTTGCTTAAAATATCTGAATTTTATACCCAAATCATGGAGGTGGGCCACTAATTTGCTCACCTGGGGCCAATTTCAGGAAAGTCTGGTTTCACTTCGGCCGCTCAAAAGCTGTTGGCAGAACTTGGAGGCAATCAGAAGGGACTTTCTTCCCAAATCCCTCCCTTTCAGCTGGGCTGAGAGATCCAGGTGCCCCCAATGGTGAAAGGGTGAGGTCCCATCCTATCTGCAGCTATAACAGCAGAGTCTCTGCCTGGGTGCACTGGTCCTGTCTTCCAACATGGCCTGTAGGCAGAGGGAAGAGTCTGCGAGTCCTCTTTGCTGCGGGAGGTGAGGCATTCTGGGAATGAGGGTAGGGAATGCACTGGCTTTCATTTGCTTAAGTTTACTTTTTCTTGCCACACTCTCTCTCTTATCATCTACAGGTTGCTTTCTCTCTTATTTGCCCTTGTGACATCAGTAAATTCATTAAGTCTTTCCCAGTTGGGGAATCCTGCCTTCCCAGGTATGTCTCTTGGGTGAGAGAACCCTCTTACAAAACAGAAAGGGCTGCAGAAGAACTAGCTTTCCACCCTGTTCTCTCTCTTCCCCTCCTCTCTCTCCCCATCCCTCCCAACAGGGACTTGCTGTGCAGCCCAGTTGGCCCTCAATTCAATGTCTCAATCCACCTGCCTCAGCCTCCTCAATGCTGGTTTTCAGGTATGTGCCTCCATGCCTGGCTTCGCTCCCCTCTTATGTTAGTCACTAAAGAATTTCTCCTGCTTATCTGTGGGCTTGCTATGTCAGCCAAAGGTAAGAATTCAAAAGAACGTCTGTGCTGCTTCCCAAGTAGCAAGCCTTGCTACTTGGTGCTTTCTGGTACCTAGCACAAGTCCATGATTCTTCATCTAGGCCTTAATCTTAAGGCATCAGTGTCAGACACAGCCAGAACTCTTCCTGTGAACCCAAGGGCTCTGGAGACTTTCCCCTGAGTCAGAGGCTGCAGAAAGGCAGAGTTTGTTCTTAAAAAAAAAAAAAAAAAATAAGAATAAGGCAAAAAAAAAAATTCCCCCCCGGGGCTTACCCAAAATTTTCCTCTTAAAAAGCTTTAATTTGGAAGACCATAGAACAAGTTTCTGATCTTGAGACCTACCATCCCCACAGCCGGCAGCTCCTTGTTAAGGTGTCTGAACCTGGCTTGTTAACTCAAAGCTGGAGTTCTCCTTGGAGCCCTAATTGTTGAAAGGGAACACTCTTAAAGCTCTGGGATCTTTACCGAAATTTGTAAATCTCAATCTGTGACCTTCCTGAGGGTAAGCGTGTCCTCCCCTTCCTCGACTGGCAGCACTCTTTCGTGCTATTGAGGAAGATGATGTTTCCACACTCACCTGTAGCAATAGTGTCTCCTGTAACTTCAAAGACCTCCAAATACTTCATCTGTTTTCCAGGCACTGTCATTTGTGGTGAAGATGATGTGACAGTTAAGTTTCCAAGTAGTTCTGACATGGAAAGACTGAACCCTTCTGTGGTTGGTATGTAATATGTCCTACTTAATTGTAATTCCAATTTGTAGGAAGCGGGGGCATGTCTATTTGGGCACACAGAGTCCAACCCTTGGAGCAACTGGCATCCATCTCCCCTAGTGCCATGGGGGTCCCTGACTTGTCCAGTGCCACCCAAAGGGGGGATGCCTGCCTTCCTGGGTAGTATGGCTTATCTGGGATCCAGTGGGAAACTTCCAAGTTTAATCACATCACCAAGTTTCATCATAAGTGGTAAACATGCCTTAGATGTGTGGATTCCTGGCTCAGAACCTTCAGTTGGCTCTGCCACTGGGATGCATTCTTGGCTATCTGTCTTCTATAGATGACTTTGGTGTTGAAATTATAAACTGCACTTATGCCCTGGATTCAGAAAATCTCATCCTGAAGTTCCCTTATGAAATCTGTACTCGGAGAGTGGTAAGTAATTGCTTTTAAGGAGTCATTTGGGGAGTAGAAACCTAATCATTACTGGTATTCAACTTGGTAGCTGGATTTAGTCTTTAAAATTTAGTCTTTAAAATAGGACAATAGTCCTCAACCAGATTGGCTTATTTTGGTGTGTGTCTAACATACTCAGAGGACAGTTTTGATCATGCCTAGAAACATTCTGGAAGCTATGTGGGTACAAGTCAAAAATACTGTCAAATAGCCTACAATGCTTAGGGAACAGAAGGCCTGAAATACAGGTGTTGGAGAAGCCCAGTGCTTGAGCTATATTAGCCCTGGGTTTGACTTCAAGTAAGCTACTTAACCTTGCTATGCCTCTATTTGCTTATTGGACATGGGAAAGATGCTGCCATCTCCACAGGGTATAGACATTAATCCTTTAGAAATGAAGGCAGGGCACACGACTTAGACAAAGCAAACGCTTGGGCAGAGAGCTATTTTAATCTAACCTCTGTGTGAGATGGAAGGCTGTTTTTGTTGCCAGCAGATAGGTGAGCCTACCCTAAGAACAGGTGTTAAAAAGCAAACAGTTGCTAAGCAATAAGGGTTTCTCTATTGCCAAGCACCAGGATTACCCAATCAGGGTCATTAGGTGTAATAAAACCCTACCATGTGGCAGAAGTTCTCAAGCTTCCCTGTGCAAAGAATCACCTGGGGGTTCAGGGTGTGTTCGAGAATTTCAGGTGATGCGGATTGGGGTGTGTCCTGGAATCATCTGTTTTAACAGGCTGCACCATCTGACCCTAATGCTGGAGCCTACAGTGTAAGCTTTGTGTATGTTCATAGATCTGCTTTCCCAGCACTCATCTGGCCCACTGAAACCCACTGTGATGGCCCAGAAAAGTCATCTATCATTTGTGAAGATCTGCACTGACTTAAACTTTTCCTTACCCATCCTTTGAAAGTTTGATACACACATGATTTGTGTTTGTCATACCCACCCCTCTCACGCACTCCAACTCCTCCCAGAATTCCCTATCATATATCCCCTTCAACTTGCTGTCCTTCTACGAATTCGGGCCTTATCAATTCGAGATGCTTAAGAGTTGCATTCCCCTGGCTTCAGTGTCTCCGAACTGCAACCCGTGAGAGGCCACATCCAGTCTCATAGCCTTTGTGTAATGATCTTTGAATTAAGAATTGTTTTCAAAGTTAAGATGACATAAATTCTAAGACGGTTACTATCTAACATTTGTTAGGTAACAATTGTCTTCTCTTAGCCTAAGTCTTCTGAGGTCAGGGCTAACAAAGATGGCTCCATTCAACTTAGATGCATCTACTAAGTTGCTGAGTGGTTATATTTGAAAAACCTGTGTAGATGTCTGGGACTATGACCATAATTTCCAACATAAGACAATAAAACATGAGAGACACATGACAGGAAACCACACTTATCCTTAACCTTTGAACTCTGCTCTCAACCTGTGAGCCTTATAAAGGTGTCTTTGGAGCTAGCTATAGTCTCTGCTGGCAAAGGAATGAAGCGCCTTCAGGAACTTGTATTGCTGAACTTAAATGTGTTGCTACTGTCCTGGGACAGAAATCTAGTGTTCTAGAATTGGCTTCCCACTGAGGAATCAACTTCCTCATTCTTACTATTTTTTTTTTTTGCACATAGATTGGCGGATACCAGCTGAACATCAGAGTCCAGGACAACAATACTGACGTACAATATAAAGATGGCATGCATCAGTTCTTCTGTCCATTTCTGAAGACACATATCCCTGAGAAATCACCAATTGTAGTCTGCACTAAGGATTTCGTATCTGTGAGTGATATGGGATGATCACCCATCGCAGGGCTATTGCAGGGGAAATAGAATGGCAGTGTGGATGTAGCTGGGCTTAGCCGCAGGATGACTTTCAGTTTGCTTTTGCTGTCTTGCTGTGTGACCATGATGCATTTTCTCAACTACGCTGAGGCTTTGTAACTGAGACTTTCCAAGTGGAGGAACCACATTGACCTGACAGGGTGGCTCTAAGGACTGAGTGGACATAGTATTGAGCACATCCTGCCTGGCAATAGAAAAGCCTCAAATATCTTCAGTCACTCATAGGACTGGCTGAGAGCACATTCCAGGCCCTGCCCCCAAACTAAAACAGTAAATTCATGAAAATGGCCGTTTTGTTTGTGTGTTTGCACTCAATAGGCTTATATTCACAGTGAACCACTCGTACCTGTACTTTTATCATGGCACCAACAGCTTAGTGCCATACTCATTTCCGTACATACTGTGAAGGTTGTGTGTGTAAGAGCCTAGTGCTTCGGTTTGTAACTGGATCTAGCCTAGCTTTTCCAGTGTAAGGCCTTTGGATGCTGGAAACACAAAGGGGTAAAGCCCCAGGGCAGGACTGGAAGACACATCTGGCCTGTGTGGGGTGTTTCCTGCAAAATAGCAGGCGGCAGAACTTCAGAAACTTCCTCTTAACTGTTTTTGTTTTTTTTTTTCTTCTTTCCAGTTTTCTTTCACACACCTTTTCTCTAACCTTGCTGATGAAAATCCGGTAAGAGTACAGTTTATTGTCTTGTTTTCTTTTTTGAACCTGTGTGTGTGCGCACACCTGTGTGTCTGTGTGTCTGTGTGTGTGCATGCTCACACGTGTGCATACCATAGGTGAGGGGGTTCCTGAAGAGGACGGGAGAAGGTGTCCTGTCCAGGCACAGAGGAGAGAAGTTAAAGTGACCTGGATTCTGAGAACTGAATTTGGTTCCAGAGGAAGAGCAGAAAGTAGTCACTGAGTCGTCTCTCTAATTCCCAGAATGCAGTTCTCCACTTATGAAACACTTGATTCATGCTAAAGCTCATTGTCACTTTAATCTGAAGAAGCATTAGGTTCTCATGATTAAGTGCCCGTCTTTCAAACAACGCTTGTCTTCAGTTTGTGCCTGCGTGAGTGAGTGAGTGAGTGTGTTGTAAGCATGTAAGTGTAGCTCAGAGGACCACTTGGAACTATCCACATGTCTTTTGACTTTTGAAGAGTGTGTCTGCCAAAGGATGGATGGTTGAAATTGACAGTGGTACAAGCATCCACATTCTGCCCCTGAGAGATGCCCTAAGACAAGGATTTAATCTTCTGATTGACCCCCAGAGAATAACCCTCGAAGTGCCAGCCAATGCTACTGGAGTAGCCCACTATGTGGTAGGTGGGAAAACCCTTTTATGTCACCATCAAGGGAATGGCCAATATTCTTAAGCCCAAGCCCGACCTCAACCATGCCCTTAAGAGATGGGCTACATTGCCAATTTTTAAAGGATGTTTAAACCGGGCACAGTGGCGCACGCCTATAATCCCAGCACTGAGGGAGGCAGAGGCCGGTGGATTTCTGAGTTTGAGGCCAGCCTGGTCAACAGAGTGAGTCCAGGACATCCAAGGCTACATAGAGAAACCCTGTCTCAAAAGAAAAACCAAACCCTAAAAGGTTAGCTGGGAGGGTTGGCATACACTTCTAGTTCTAGAACCTGGGAAGCTGAGGCAGGAGGCTTGTGAGCTTAAGCACACTACACAGTGAGACTGTCTCAAACAACCGGTAAGTTCTAATACCAAGCACATCATTGGATCATAGGAATGCAATGGTGAAGAAGAGACATGGGCCTTGGCTATCCACTCTCCCCCTTTTTGCAGGCGTGCATTCAAAGCACAATGTAGAGCAAGGGCTGTTGTGAGTCTTAGGGATTAAGGTGTTCTGCTTGGGTGGGATTGTTTACCTTGTCTTCTACATCATCTGTGAGACATTAAACGAATGTGTCATAATCACATTCTACATAATGTTTAGGCCAGTGATGAACCATGGCATAAGACTAGTAGAGTTGAAAGTCTCATTGCCTGGCTATGATAGCTGTAGCAACATGCTCGTGCAGCGCCTTGCCCGTGTTTGCGGTGGTGCTGTGTGAACCTGTGCTGTCCACTGCGTAAAAGCTTCACACACACACACGCACACGCACACACAACCACACGTTAGGTGGATAATAGCAAAACTAGGTTTTGTGGTTCTATGCTCTGCTGTGCAAGGACAATTGTTTAATGTTGCATTTCTTAGGATATGGTGCTTGGGAGAGGTGCTGGCACATGCTCCTACACTGGCTACTTTAATAAAACATTTTTTTTTCACCTTGAGCATAATAGGATTTCTGATCTCGATAAGCATTCTGACCAACACTACTAAATTGTCATAGAATATGGCTAGTTCTTACTCCTGTCTCCTAGAAACAGTCAGCTATGGGTGATATTTGCAGACGGCATGAGTTTTCCACGCATTATAGAAGTCAAGGTTAATACTGGAACACCTTGACAGTGATTGGACCAAATGCCTACACTTAATTTGTGCCAACATGATGCCCAATGATTGAGTATATGTTGATTCTTGTTGCTTAGAGGCTCAGACTAATATCTTCACAATCCTGACCTCCAGGAAGGGAGCAGCCATCTCTATACTGTGGTCCTCAAGTTTTCATACTCCTCTTTCGGGCAGCAGAGCATCTTCCAATCACAAGCTATCTGTGCATCAGGTGAGGCCCAAGAGGGCACAGCTTCAGCATTGGGGAACATTGCTGTTGGGCTTACTCGAGCAGCTGATGGGCATTCTGTCAACCACTCCCTGCAGAGCTCTCTGTGGCTTGTAATGCCACGCACATGACCCTCGCCATACCAGAATTTCCTGGGAAGCTAAACTCCGTGGGCTTTGAGCAAAGGGACATCCACGAAAGCGAATGGCATGCCATTGGGATTGACAAAGAAGAAACAAATGGCCTGAGACTGCATTTCAGAAAAACTCTCCTGAAAACGAAAGTATGTCTGTGATCCCCTGAATGTCAGAGCCTACTGAAGTATGCTCTTGAGGGTAATATGATACAACTCATGACTTGCCCGGAAAGCCTACTTGCTAGAGTGATGGGTTTAAACGGTGCAAAGCCTATCTTGATCACCTTACATAAACAATTTTTTTCTTTTTTTTAATTATTACCATTTATTACAATTTATTCAATTTGTATCCCAGCTGTGGCCCCCTCCCTTGTCTCTTCCCAATCCTACCCACCATCCCTTTTCTCCCCCCATGCCCCTTCCCTAGTCCACTGACAGAGGAGAGGAGGCCCTCCTCCCCTTCTATTTGACCCTAGCCTAGCAGGTCTCATCAGGGCTGCTTGCATTGTCTTCCTCTGTAGCCTGGCAAAGCTTAACCCCCAGGGGAGATGATCAGAGAGCTGGCCACTGAGTTCATGCCAGAAGCAGTCCCTGCACCCCTTATGAGGGACCCTATTTTGGAGACTGAGTCTATAGGCTACATCTGAGCCAGGGTTTTAGGTCTTCGCCATGCATTGTCCTTGGTTGGAGTATCATTCTCTTCAGGGCCCCCAGGGCTCAGGTTTTTTTGACATAAATGATTTTTTTAAGGAAAGCTACTCTCCCATATCATCTCTTTAACTTCCACATGTGGATACTTTGCTACATTTTTCTCAGTTCATCTGACAATTACAAACTACTTGTAATACATCTAATGATGAGCCTTCACTATGCCCTGTTATGACAGGACAACTTGATCCAAACAAAAGAGTCTCCTATTGTCTGAGGCTAGTCTTGATGGATGCAGCTACCAAGGATAGATTGTCAGGGCATGCAGAGCAATAGCATTTTGTAACCTCTGTGGGGTTCTTTTGAGTCCTCCTTGAGCTTGGCAAGAGAGTCCACTATTCTTTGCAGTTTGATTTGTGGTTAATTCAAACTTTTATGACTAATAGCACAAAGAGCATGAAGTCCTGGGTACTTTAGGACATGAGTTTGAAACAATAAACTTCCTACCTAGAGGAGCATCCTGAGGAAGTGACAGCTGTTTTGCTTTGGCTTAGAAGGAAACTAGATCAGTCTGAAGCGTGCTCTGCAAGTGTTCAGGGACTACTGCTCCCTGTGATGGCCGGTTGACATCCTCTCATTTCAGCCCTCTGAAAAATGTCCATCCTATCAGTTCTACTTCTCTTCACTCGGTCTGACCTTTCGCCTTCAATCGCACATGGTAACCATGGTGACCGAACCTGAGTGCCACTGTGAGCCACCAGTCTCTATAGGTAACTTTTTTTTTAATCAAAATTATCTGGGGTTTTGGTTTTTTGTTTGTTTTCATTTCTGTTAATGCATGTGAGAAAATACAACAGACGCCAAGATTCTGATTCATGCTCAGAGAGAACGAAGGATGACTCGTATCAGAAACGACAGTCTAAGTTCTAGGATGGGGGTCAAGTGTGGCTACCACTCCTAAACATTCTATAACTGCTGAATTTAAGAAATCCAGATATACCGAGTTAGATCCAGAGTCTTCCATCCAGGGACAAAGACTAAAAGCTTCTGGTTAGTTAAAACTCTCTAGAGTTCCTGAGACTCCCACAAACTCTGAAAAGGAATCCTGGTTGAGTGAGCCTTGCTTCTCTTTCCTCCCTCACCCAGACCAGCTCAGGACAATCCTGATCATAAAAAGCTACCTTCTCAGTTTCTCCTCAGATTGCCTGCGATTTGTGAGCTCAAGCTGACTAGCCCTTACCAAAGTGCTCAGAACCCTCAGTTTGAGGTTTCAGAGTTCTATTGGATTTTTAAAATATAGCTTACCAGTTGGGATTCTCTAGTTAAAAAAAAAAAAATCTGAAACTCAAGACTTGAGAAAGGACACAATGAAACCTAGTACTACAGAGTCAATCCAGACTGAATCCTTTCTGGGAGTTTTCTTTGGTGGCCTCATCACCTCTGTGGCCTTTCAATGTCTCCTGATCTGTACGTTGATGATGCTATGTTGATGGTAACTTACATTCTCTTGTAACTCAAGCTGTCCCATCAAAGACTTGAGACAACTCACAAAGACTTGAGACAACTCACAGTTGCTAGATCCATCTTAACGCTTCAAGGCTGGTGGGCAATGTCACAAGGTGGAGTCAGTTTTTCTCTAAAGCTTTACTGTTGTCCAGTTACAGATGAGCTGTGTACACAGGATGGATTTATGGACTTTGAGGTCTACAGTCACCAAACAAAGCCTGCTCTGAACCTGAACACCCTCCTGGTGGGAAACTCCTCCTGCCAGCCTACCTTCAGGTCTCAGTCTCAGGGGCTCGCAAGGTTTCACATACCTCTGAATGGATGTGGAACACAGCAGAAAGTAAGTAGTAACCGAAGGTAAGGCGTTAGGACTTACTTTCGAAGTAAGTACTTTGTTGACCAGCGTTTTCTAATATTTAAGTTTGAAGGTGATAAAGTCATCTATGAGAATGAAATCCATGCTCTCTGGAAAAATCTACCACCAAGCATAATATTCAGAGAGAGTGAGTTCAGGTGTGGTACAATTTCTACTTGGGTGGGTTTTCTTTAAGCTTTAGCTTTAAACTAGAGGGATTTGTTGTTGTTGTTAACATAATTCTTCATCTCTCCCTACCCAAAATTTTCCAGAATGACTGTGAGGTGTCATTACCTCAGAGACAGCATACTACTAAGTGCCAATATCAAAAGCCTTTCTTCTCCAGAGGCCTCTGTAAAGCCAGGTCCACTGGTGTTGGTCCTACAAACCTACCCAGGTGAGTTGTCACAGCTTGAGCTAATAAACGAAACAGTTCGAGGGATTTTCCCCCTAAAATGCACACTCTAGTGCTGCCAGCCTAACCTATGTTACAGCCAGCTGGGCACCTCAATCATGAAGAGGTTTCTGTCAATTGCAGACAAATCCTACCAACAACCTTACCGGAAGGATGAGTACCCCCTCGTGAGATACCTCCGCCAGCCAATCTACATGGAAGTAGCTGTCTTGAACAGGAATGATCCCAACCTCAAGCTGGTTCTAGATGACTGTTGGGCGACATCCTCTATGAACCCAGCCTCTGTCCCCCAGTGGCAGATTGTCGTGGATGGGTATGTATTCTAACTTGCCAGCAGTGATTGAAAACCATCCTCTTAAGGCTTAAAGGTGACCTTGGTCATGAATTCCCAGGGTTGATCCTTGTTGTCCTCAGTCCTTGGTCTAGTTGGGTGGCTCGTGCTGTTTTTTTTTTTTTCTATTACCCTAGACTCCCAAGGAATGGGCCCCTCTCCAAAACATCTGGTTCTGTTGCATCTTTATCATGAGAGGGAGAATTCTAGTGTTCATTCACAGAATCCCTAACATATGCCAGGCTGTCATGCATCCCATCCCATCACCTGAGGAACACCAGCCACCTTCCTGAGGGGATCCAAGCTGTAGCTTCAGTAAGTGGTGGAGCTGGGATTAGAATGCCCACTTGGCTCTAAACAAATGTGGACACTGCTTTGGGCTATAGGTAGTTGTCCTCTCAGCTCTGCCTGAAGCGTCTCCCCCAGAGTCTCTTACCTGCAAAGAGCTTTGCTTCAGCTTTCTTGGCTCTGTGAGAATATGTCACAAGCTCTAAACTTGCAGTTAGCCTCTTGCCTCAAGCTCGTGTACATCCCATTCAGTCGCACAATGCATGCCTTTACCTTTGAAGATTTGCCCAAGTATCTCCTCTCTCTGTGGCCAGCCCCAATCCCTTCATCCCTGTTAGTCTTTACACCTTTGTTCTTCCCATCCTTAATGACATCATCACTTGCTAGTGTGTAAAACAGGATGGCAAGGATTCTCTATTTCTGTTGCAAACATTTACTATGTAGGACACAGGAGAAAATCATGTTTGCGGAATAAGTAAGCAGGTATCTTAAGTAAAACACACACACAATAGGAGTGTGGTCACAACTTGAATTTGTTGAATTCACTTGGTAAAACAAGTACATATTTGTGTTATATAGTAGAATACAGGTGTTACACATAACTTAAAACTTCATAAATACTGGTGGCTAGGTCCAGTCAAAAAGACATAAATCAGACTCTATAGACATAGCTGTGTCACGTGTGACTCACCTTGTATAAATGGTCAAGTGCAGGTTCCTGTAGCTGATGCCCCTATCCTGGTGCCTGTTTCCCAGCTGTGAATACGAACTGGACAACTACCGTACTACTTTCCATCCAGCTGCTTCCTCCATGGCCCATCCCACTCACTACCAGAGGTTTGACGTGAAGACCTTTGCCTTCGTGTCAGAGGCGCAGGGACTCTCCAGCCTGGTATGTGATCAAAAAGTGAGCTGGGGCAGGTTGACAGTGATTGCACTGTCCCACTTGACGCTCTTCCTCTTCTTCCAGATCTACTTCCACTGCAGTGCCTTGATCTGCAACCAAGGTTCCCGTGACTCCCCCCTCTGCTCTGTGACTTGCCCTGCACCACCGAGGAGCAAACGAGGTAAAAACAACTCCTGTCCTTGTCGCTCAAAGCAAGCCTCAATTTTCTAATCCTGAGTATACTTTAGAATAGTAATACCTTCTCCCAAGAAACATCCTTCCCCAGTCTTTACCAATGGCGGTCCTGAGATGCACAGGTTCTCCTTTACCCTGATGAACCCATCGTTTGAGAATCTATCCATGGCAGACAGGTGGATTTCATGTCACAGGATACTCCATGGAGCATCTTCTAGGGACCCTAATGCCTCTGGCACACTCCACTACTCCAGAGTCAAACACAACCTTGATTATCTGTCTCCTCCACAGAGGCCACCAGAGAAGACACAATGACAGTCAGCCTTCCAGGACCTATTCTCTTCTTGTCAGATGACTCTTCGGTTAAAGGTACAGATTCAAAGTCTGGGGTACTTCTGAATTATTTTTTGTTCTGCTTTTTTTTTCTGCCAAAAAGTTTAATGATAAAACCAAAACAAGAACAAAGAAAAGTAAGTTCCCTTCCTAGGGAGCCTAGAACCCTTTGTAGGCTCTTCTGCAAATCTTGACACCAACAGGATCATGCTCAGTGCCAACTGATAGACTTGCTTTATTGCAGTCTTGCTATCACTATGTAGGATGCATGGGGCTCTTAGCCATGGTCTTGTTCATGAAACATGGTGTTGCTTCTAACAATTCTATTCTCGTGCTGGACGTCGTAATGGATTCTCTATACCACACTACATCTTTTAAGAGGATTGCTGCCTACCATACCAAGAAATTGGGTGCATATTGCTGGCAGATGAGTAGGTTAAGAAGCATGAGCATCCCTGAAATCCACAGGAGATTATTCTCCTGTAACCATCTATAGATGCACCCAGGGGGCCTCCACTCTAGACCTAGAATGTGAAATTAAGCTGTCTTAAATCTCTAGCCAATTGCCCTGTGGCATCACACACACACACACACACACACACACACACACACACACACACACGGATAGCTAGCCATCAGGACATTGCATTAGTCACTCTGAGACCCCCAGGCTCATCTGGCTTGAGATGGAGACAACAAACGGTACTGACAGGGAGAAGAGCAGGTGTGAATGAAGCAGGGAAGGATGGAGGTAGCAATGGGGTGAAGGAGAGTCTGCATCCTACCACAAACTTCCAAAAAATAAAATGCGTGATAGAGGCTTAACTTCTGTAGAAGGGCTCAGCATGACCTTATGACCTGACTACCTTCTCTCTGTAGGTGTTGTGAACCCTGAAATGGACGAGATTGCCAGCGACACTGCTCCTAAAACAGTGGCTGCTGTGGCTGCGTTAGCGGGTTCAGCGGTTATTATAGGTCTCATCTGTTACCTGCATAAGAAAAGAACGGGGAGATGGGGTCATTGATTGGACTTGGAAATAAAGAGACTGCAGCAAAACTTGTGTCTTGTGTGTTCATACATGTATGCACTCAGGCAAAGCCAGAGGGCAACCTTGAGTCAGTCCTCAGGCACCATCCACTTTTTTTTTCTTTTGGGAGGAGGAAAAGAAGCGGTTTCATGGCCTTGAAACTTGCCAAGTATGCTAGACTGGCTGGCCAGCGAGCCACAGGGATCTGCCCATCTCTGACTCCCTAGCAGTGGTAATACAGTATGTGCCACTGTGACTGGCCTTTAAAGACAAACAAAATGAAAACCATGTTGGAGCTCAAACTCGGGTATTCGTGCCCGTGAGACTAGCGCTTGCCTGGCTGGGCCATCTCTCCATCTTTCTAGCCCTTTGACTTCTGTTTCAAGACTAGAAAATACTTAAGAATTGTTCCCTTCAATCTTTACGCTGTAGAGTAGGTCTGGGACCCTTTCACGATCCCCTGGGCAGGTGTTTATCAATTTGGACAGGAATAGGTAAATTTACAACTTGTTTTCTATTTTCGATTTTGTGACTCCCTTCATTCTAAACCTGACACGTGACATTTATGTTCCATAGAGCTTAGCTGCAGCCTACATGAAAGAGTACACCTAACATGAGTCTTCGCTCAAAGACACAGGATTGGGTGAGACGTGGGAAGTGGCTTGTGTCTAACTTTGTCACAACAGTGAAATACCAAATGTGGAGTACTTAAATAGGCTTTGGGGATTGTTTCCACCTCCCAGTTGTGGAAGCTCAAATCCAAGGCTGCATGGTCCCATGGTATAGGGTGATGGTGGGAGTAGGTGCCAGCAGTGATTACATCTGGAACCAGGAAGATCTCCATTACAGTCCCTTGAGGGGCATATCCTCCATGACCTAATGACCTTAAATCCACAGTGCCTCTCCATGCCACCACTCTGGAGGCCAAAATTTTAACATGGGGGAAATCTAATAAAAAAAAAAACAGCATCTTTAATCATTTGACCAAAAATATTCCCTTAACAAGAGTTAATTGTATACAGTGAAGTATTTACTAACTCGAATAAGACTTCTGAAGCTTTAAAATGGTTGAGCTGTATCTCTGTAACTCACATTTAAAGATGTGTCTTTGGGGAAAGAAAATGCTGTGAACTCCATCTTAAGTGCAATTACAATGTCCTTGCTACCCAAACTCTACCTTGAACCTGAGCTTAGCTGACCATTTCTACCTGTGCTCAGTTCCTCACTCCTCAGGAGGCTCAACAAGGGCATCCTAGTTTTCCCCAGGCTGCTTGGAAGAAGTCCTCCATATGACCAATCTTGCCCTAATGCCAGAGTTCAGACACCTTTTACACATCTAGTATAAAAAGTTGCTTGTATCCTTTGACTAGAAAACACAGCTTTTCTTTTTCAAAAAATATTTTTAATCTCCATATAGGGGTGAGGTTCAAACACAAATGTAAAATTTTGCTGGGTGGGGGTGGTATTTGAATTACATTTCCTAATCCTGGTCTATCATTGAGGAAAGATGGGACAAGGAGCTGAAGTAGGCCAGAGAGGAACACTGCTTACTGTCTTGCTCCCCATGGCTTGCTCAGTCTGCTTTCTTACAGTACCCAGGACTGCTTGCCCAGGAATAGCCCTACCTGTAGTAGGCTAGCCCTTCCCACATCAGACATCAATAAAAAAAAAAAATGCTCCCACAGACTTGCCTACAGGCCCATCTGATAGAGACAGTCTTCTCGAGGTTCTCTCTTCCCAGATGACTCTTACCTGTGTCAAGTTGACAAACAAACCAATACAATGAGAGTCCATTATATACTTGTTCCTAGCCAGAAAATACAATGTTTCTTTAACTCCTTGGGTATCAGCTATTCTGTTGAGCTTTTCAAAACCTAAACCGGAGTCAATGCATATGCGTCTATTATTTTGTAGTACGTAGTAGGTCTCAAGCTTCACTCTGACCTGTTATCTTCCAACATACTCTGTGTTGGACTCTGCATAGCTGTGACAACGTTCCTGGAAAAAAGATTTTGGCTCAGTCTTCAAAGCTAAAGTTGGTGCTTGGGCAGGATGTCTTGGTAGTAGGGGCCACGTGTGAGAGGAAGATCTGGTCTCACTGAGGACAGTGAAGAGACCCATGAAGCGTAGCCTTCAAAGGTGTGCTCCTTGCAGCCCTACTGTGCTCAACAAGGCCTAACATCCTAAAGTTTTTATGACATACAAAAAAACAGTGCTGCAGACAGAAATCACATGCTCACAGGAGCTGTGAATTCTTTAGACCACCACAGCCTTTCTTCTCAAATCGTTTTGTTAGTCACGCAGGGTAAAAATCCTGGTGCAAGGAATGACTGTGCATAAATGGTGTGGAAGATCTGTGTGTCCAGAGTGCTAGGGGTTAGAAGCTCCAGTCTTCAAAGCCATCCCGTGGACCTGACTTCATAAGGGTTTAAGGAGTTACTCTAATGATAAGGTAAAAATTGATCTTGGATTCAGACTTCTCTGTGTGAAACCTTATATCTCAGGCTGCTGCACACTGGAATTAGAAATAAAACTTATACTGCCCTTTAAATGATATTAAAATGAACATTGATTTAATAGCAAGCAGCACTTGTAAATGCAAAAAGAGAAAAAAAAAAGGTGGTTGCTTAAATGGCTCTGGCTCCTCATGTCCACATCCTGATTCTAAAAAGCAAATGAATATATATCAGTCTTGGTAGCTTCCCATGGAGACATGGACTCATAGATGTGGTATATGGTATTGATACAGTCGAATGACGCAGGAGGGCAATCACAAGGGTCCTAATAAAGAAAACACAGGAGACCCGAGCTTGGAGAAAATGTGACATGGATTACCAAAATCTGAGGGCTTTGGGGTCTCAGGCCAAGAATCCCAGGCAGCCTGTAACAGAACAGGTGGGAAAACCATGGTACAACCTCCAGAATCAGATCTACTGCCCCACTTTTGCGCGTCTGACCTCCAGACTTGTAACTACAATACTGTTTTCTGGTGCCAAGTTTATGTTCAGTTGTTGAAGCAGCTAAGGGAAACCAATCCGCCCGCTGACTCATGACCCACGAGTTAGAAAAACACATCACTGAAAATGCTCGAGTTTATCCACGAGTTACTCGAGCACTGCAATAGCTCCGGGATACCACAGTCCCTCAACCTCCTGGTAGACCCTCATCAGCAAGTTGGCCCAGATGCGCTGGGGTCAAGATCTCCCGGGCTTCTGGACTTCTCCACAGCAAACTCCCTCCCGAAGTGTTTACCATAGTACCAAAGCAGAACGGGGAGAGTGGGAAGGAGAACTTGCCTGGAGCAGCTGCTGGGATGAACACTTGTTGCCATGGCAGCCTGGAACACACAAGTACAGCAAGCAGTAGATTCAAGTCAGGTTCTCAACTTTTGAGAGCACACATCCTACGGGTGTGTGGGAGAGGCAGCCTATTCAGGGAGGAACTGTGTGGGCCAGGAATTCAGCTCCAACCCCAAGGGGCTGCTCCTTCATCCACACCGGGTTTGCCACCTTCCTTATTGGGTAGCGATGGGTTGGAATTTTGAAACAAGTGTCAGGAAACACGATAAATGGCTCTTTGGTGGTTCTCATGGTGAAGGGCACAGGGGCTGGGAACGGGCTTGTGTATTATGGAAAGAGACCTCTAACTTTTCTCCCTTGACCGGCTCTGTGGCCACTGTAGTTTACTTGGGCACACAGAATTTCAGAATATGAATGTTTGGCTTCTGGATCGATATTTTGCTAGCTGTGTGGCCTTGGGCAGAGGGGACAATGTCTACGCTTATTTCCACGCTCCCAAACCATGTCAATGTCCTAATCTTGTGGCAGGAGAGCAGGTGGAAGATCAGCGAGATAACCAATGCCTTGAGATAAAGTTGTCTGGTTAAGTCCGAAGCATCTAACCAGCAAGATGCTGACAGTACTAAAACAAACAAACATCCCCCTCAGAGATAATACAATGGACCATTACCACAGGACGAATAAATCCATGCTATACCAGAGGCCCTCAGATGTATGTTGAATGAAGTACATATAGCCTGACTTCACCCACTAGATGAATCTTGAAAGACTGGGTCTAAGCATGTTTAAGCAACACGGGAGGATAAATGAGGGCCCTGGTGATAACTGTGTGCTAATCCTTCGGGCCTGTGAACCTTCCCTACATGGCAAGAAGGACTCTGCTGTCATGCTAAACTTCAAGAAGGTTGAGATGGGGAAATTATCTGGATTATTGAGGTACGGAATGAATATAACCACACATATCCCTATAAGAGGGAAGGAAGTCTTGCCAAGGGAAAAGGGGTGCGGAGCAGAGATTGGAGTGGTACATTTTGAAGATGGAAGAAGAGGATATTGTAAGGTCTTGGGTTCAAGAGAGGAACACAGAGTCAATTTGTCCTTTTAGGTAAAAGGTTTACTAGAGGAGTTATTAGTACCAAGGACATTCAGGCAGTGTGATGGGAGAACTAAAGAGTTCAGGCCACGAGCAAAGCAGGGATCTCACAGGTTCCGAATGTCAGGAAGGACCCATGCTTGGATTAAATCGGTAGCTCATAGCAGCTACATGCACTCGGGTTTCTCTGGTTGTGGGAGCGTAGGCAAACAGGGAGAGATCTGGTCTCGCTGACTGCAAGGCCAGCACTGAGCTTGTCATTTCCTGGGGTCTAACTACCTGAGGAGCTTTAGGGGAGGTGAGGATTAGGGTTGAAGCTAGTCCCCAATAGGATGGCTGTTGTTCCCTTTTACAGCAGCTGTGGTGGGGATGAGTCGGGGCGTGGGTCTGCTGCACGGAATAGATACTAGCTAGAGGCCAGAAGTAGACACTAAGCTGAAAGGGGCAAAGAAATAGATTTTCCTCTAGGCCCTGAAGAAGGAACAGGCCAGATATCCACTCCTTTAAGACTCTGTAGGTCCTTCAATTTAAGATCCTTACTGTGTGAATAGACGAAAAGCAAACACAAGAGAAGAGCCCTGGGGCAGAGAGCGTAGGGTTTAAAT